TTCGATCGATCGAACACCTTTGTCCTTATCCAAATGATTGATCCTATTCACAGCTGTACCACCCACCAACCACTTTTGTCCTTTTCCCATAAATATCTCCCACAAATATCTCGGATTTGTCTTTTTCTAAAAAGCTCAGCCAGTTGGATCGATCCAGCCTAAGTTCGATTGATCTCAATTACTTTCAATCGATCTCACTTCCTTTCGATTGATCGAACTTCCTCCAGTGCGAAAAAGTTAAAATTCCATCCCATTGAAAGTTGTCCTTTATCCAATCATTGGGGAATATTGTGTGCACAACCCCAGCTCATTTTGGGTGTCATTTTGACCTACCTATATAAGGATAAGGATTGCTTTTTCAAAAGGAGAGCCAACATTATTTTTGATATCATCTCTTGGAGAGGAAGTTTAGAGGAGGAGGAGGCTAGAGACACCATTGGAGATCTTCATCAACAAGGAGCAAACCTCTTCCATGGAGTTAGCCCTTGAGGGTTGGAGCATCCTCACCATGAGTGGCTAGACATCCTCTTGGGGCTAGAGTTAGCCCCAAGCATGCTTTCTATATCTTAATCTTGTGTATTATTGAGGGATTAGTGTTGTAATTGATGTTTTGACACTTTGACATATATAGATCTTTTTTATTCAATGATTTATGTGGTTTAATGCTTTCAATTGGTCATTTTATTCTATCCATATGTCTATGTATGCTAGAATAGATGTTCATGTGCTTATTTCTAGATTTTGTGTTGTTGGTACATGTCTATGTGTATTGATGCCATAAAATTAGAGATTGTCAAAACATAGTACTTAAAGGAATGTTCTTGTGATTCTTTAGATGGTTCATGCTCATATCTTGATGGATTGTGTCTCCTTCTTAGCTAAATTAGTTTAATTTCAATGGCTTAATTGTAGTTTAGTGATAGTATAATATTAGATGGGAAGACAATCCATGCTAGTTGTTTGATGCTCCATACTTTTAAATGCAAGTAACATTTGTCTCTAATCTTGTGCTGTATTTGGATTGTGAGCCTAATGAAAAGGACCAATGATTTACAAGATATGTTGTGCTTTTCACATGCTATTTAGACAATATATACTTAATTGCTAGATATATTGTGCTTTTCACATGTTGGTTAGACAATGTATACTTAATTAGTCATCCTTGCTTGTTGAATAAACCAAATACACACATACCAATTTTGCAACACCCTAATTGCCTTCATTAATCACTTGTCAATAATATAGAAATGCATTGCTTGGTGGTGATCTCTAAACCCCAAGACTCTTCTCTCTCTCTTTTACTTAATCTCCATTGCATTCAATTACTTAGTTTAATTTTGTTGCTCTTTAATCAACCTACCAACCAATTGTTTGATCACTCAACCTACTAACCCTAATAGTGATTCCACAATCAACTCCAACTCCAATCCCTTGGGACGATCCCTACTCGCCTTATCTATATTTATAGTGAAAGGTAGTAGTAGCTTTTACAAATGTAAAACTTGAACCTCGCTTAAATTGCACATTCTCAAACGTATGGTAGGACGACGGCCATCAGAAAATAACCTAGTTTGAAGCAAACAAGGCGTAATTAAACTACTGTAATCCACAAAACCACAGAGCCTTCTCTAAAAAAACTGGAGAAGGCTCTAAACTACCTAGAGCCAGCTCTCCAACAAGGGGAGTTGGCTCTCCTTGCCTAGAGCTGGCTCTCTCCTTGGGAGAGCCGGCTCTCCCCCTTGTGAAAGCCTTCTCTGTTCCTCTACTTCACTTCTGCTAGTGCGGTTGATGTCTGTGTTTCCAGCGAAGCTTCCAATCATTGTCCCAATTTTTTTTTATATCCCTAGGGTTCCATTTAAGTTCTTATAGTCCTAGAAACTCTTAACATTCCACTATGAATAAATTTACAAAAGTTTAAATTCATAATCAACATAGTATGCAAGATACCAATTTTAGTGCTTTTAAACGAAAACAAACTACAGTCTGGTATAATATGCATCATCCACCACGTTTTAACAATTGAATTAATCCCTGGAGACTATAAAGAATGCACAGAACGCAAGTTTACAGGAAATGAATAGAATGAAACTTGCCTCACAATTCCGGTTTGAAACATTTATCGCCGTCTCTAAGTTTCAGAATTTCTCCAAGACTATTCCTTCCTCTAATCACTGCTCCAGTTCTATCTCTCCATCAACCTCTTTCTTCCTCCTTAACATGAGCTTAAATCCATAGCCAAAACCCTTTCCCAGTTCTCTTCATGTTTTTCCCTCACCTCTCTGTTTCTCTGTTTTCTAATATGTGAATAAGGTGCCTCACCAAAAAAACCTTGAAGACATAATGTTCTATATATATAGACTCATGAAAAACCCTAAGCCTAATTCCACGGCTCATTATATGTCGACTAGCTAATCTCCAAAACCCTAAATGTACACTATATACACTACCATAAAAAATATACCAATTGAGTCATTCTAAAACACACGTTAATTAACCTAATTTTAATTAACTAAATTAAATCTCAATTAAATCATTAAAGTGACACAGAAGAATAAAATAAATAGATAACAATATAAAATTAACCGATTAAATAATACAAATAAATAATTACTAATTACAATTAATTCATCAATTAATTTAAACAAATATAATGAACATAATTAATCAAATAAGTCAAATAAGCACATAAGTCACTTAGTTAAATAAAAATGCAATAAAAATCAAAATTAAATTCCCATTTTATCCTTTTAAAAAGTAGGGGTATTACATTCATACCTCATTTCGACAGACCGATTTGCCATTTCGATCAGCCGATTTGCCCCTTGCTTATTCGGCTTGGTTTGGTCACTTGCCTTTGCATATCAGGACCCTTATGTCTTTTCCATTTCTGCCTTTGACCTTGTATGAGCCATTTTATGACGTTCACGACCTAGTTTGACTTAGTTCGTGTTCCCTTAACTGTCATCAGTGCCAGAAGGTACCGCTTGACCTTTATGACCTTAACTTCCACATTTGGTTCCATATCGAGTGTTGTTACCTCGTTAAAGGATCTTCTTTCATCTTTGAGGTGGCATTCGCCTCTAGTAGGGATGGCAACGGGGCGGAGTTGGGGTGGAGTTGGCTAAACCCTACTCCGTCCCATTAAAAAATTAGTCATACCAATTCCACTCCAACTCTGGGACGGGTTTATAATTGGTATACCATCCCCGCCCCAACTCTGGTAGACAAAATACCGACTCCGCCCCGCATACTCCGTTTAATTGCAGTAAAGTTGAAACTATTGAATTAATTCCTGAACTTGGGATAAAATACTAAGATCTTGAATCCTTGATTGATTCTTGAAGATTGAATCACGTGCACAATTGTGGAATTTTAGTAAGTAGTGATTCTAGTGAATATTTAATCAAAATACATTAATGGACACTTAACTTATATATATATATATATATATATATATATATATATATATATATATATAATCAGGGTTGGGGTTGGGGCGGGGGTGGGTTGGGGCATCACTAAATCCGCCCCCGCCCCAAACCCGATTCGGGTTTTCAATTCTTTTACCATATCCACCCCAAACCTATTTATGGAGCTACCAAATCTGTCCCATTAGGAGCGGAGTGGGGCGGAAACCCAACGGGTTGGAGGAAATTGCCATCCTTAGCCTCTATTGGTCTTCTTTATTGTTTCACTTCCACATTTGTTTTATATTCGAGACTCGTGATCTCTAGGGAGGTCACTTTGTTATCTTAGAGGTGCTGTCTATTTCTAGAGACTCTTCTCTTTTTTCACTTCCGCACTTCGGACTTGATGTCGGGTCAAGTTCCGGGTTACTCACTGACGCACCGGGTTTTTGAAATTTGGGCCGTCACATATATTGTCGGAGATGGGTAACTGGATATAGGAGATGCGTGGGTCTTGGTAGAGGGGGACTCTTGAGCATCTTGTGTGCGATTTTTCATGAGATACCCACTATTCGGCTGAGACTGCCCTATATTTCAGTGAGAGTCTTACTGTGTGTATGTATATATCGACTATGTAGTTATTGCATGAGTTTGGCTAAGGATGTATTGCTTCTTGGTTCTCTGATTGGGTTCTAGTATAAAGGATTTGTTCGTAGGTTTTGACCAATTCTTGTTATATTTTTTAGGTATTCATTAGTACCAGTCATAGAGGTTGTTCGTGTAGATTAGAGACCATTCATCTTCACTTTTACGAATCATCGAGGTATGACATTATCCTAGTTTTCATTTAATTTTTAGATTTAGTTGTTTATTTATTATTTCGGTAGACTTAAGACATTATTTTAGTTATGGGATTTCATTAGAGGCCCATAAGATACAAATTCCCCAGTTATACTATGGAGATTTATTATTTATTAGATTTATTGGAGTATTGGTATCAGAGGAATTGGGGATTTATTAATTATTACTTTAGTTATCTATTCAACGTTATTATTTATTTTATTATTTCTCTTCTTGTATCCTGTACTTGTTAATTATCAATTGTTTTTTATATTAGTAGGTTTTCGAGGTGTGGGTCTGACCAACCTACACGTAAAAATTCGGAATATGATAAGATTGCATCTATAGAGGCATGCATGTGTGAGTGCTAATTAAAAAAAACAAAAAAAAAGAAATAAAGGAGAGATTGTATTGCTTGGAGAACTATTGAAAATGTTTACATGGTATAAAAGTTTTTAAAGGACTTATTTGTCTTTTTGAGTCTAAAAGTGAATATAACCCTAATTTTCTCTACAGTAACTTAAATTAATTGATACTATAATTTTGGAGCTCCTTTAAAATGAGCTGGCACAAACTAGAAAATGACGTGGCAAAATTCAATTGCCAGTTGAGGATTACAAAAGTGAAGTTCCCATAAAGGACATGAACCTCTGTGTAATACTCCGTATCTATCTTCCATGGTGATGCTATAACTTGGGGTACAAGCGTAAAAAGACTTCAAAAGAAAGATTTATTTCAAAAAGTGTTGCTTATTTATGCTAAAAGAGTTTTCCAAAAATCAACGTTCAAAGTTCAAAACCCTTTCAGAGTTTCTTCCAAAATCTCTCTCTTCATTCCGGTATGTGTTCTTACAGTCCTACTCATATTGCTCGGTGTATTCAATTATTCGATTGTGTCTTATGTGTGTGTGTGTGTGTTTTGGTGTGTATAATTGTGTGTATTTATATTTGTTATATTTGTGTGCAGTGCTGTTGCTAGGGTTTGAGTAGATTGATAGCCATGTCGTTGAGGCCGAACGCCAGAACCGAGGTTCGCCGGAACCGATACAAGGTCGCCGTCGATGCGGAGGAAGGTCGGAGACGGAGAGAGGACAACATGGTTGAGATCAGAAAGAGCAAACGTGAAGAGAGCTTGCTCAAGAAGCGTCGCGAAGGTCTCCAATCGCAGCAGTTCACTCCCAACATTCAAGCGTCTACCATGGAAAAGAAGGTCTTTATTCTCTCTCTATACATATTTATATGTATGTGTAATTGTATGCATTGAGAGATTGAAGGATTATTTGGCTGATTGCTGTTTTAGATATGTGGGTTTAATGTTTTAGGGCTTCGCTTCCTTTCGATCATTGTTTTGGGTTGGGATTTGAAGATTGATGATTAGAACTTCAATTTTTTTTTTTAATTGTAACTACAGTGATTTTTGTTGGATAACTTAGGCATTAGGGGTTTTTGGCTCTCTTTATCTTTTCCATGGTGCCCTTATGGATATTATGCTTTGGTTGCTGGTTTGGTTGCAGTTAGAAAGTCTTCCTTCCATGATTGCTGGGGTTTGGTCAGATAACGGCAATTCACAGCTGGAGGCAACTACTCAATTTCGTAAATTGCTTTCTATAGGTATGATAATGATTTTATACGTCTTTGTAAGTTCTGTTTTGTGTCTCTTACTTTCTGAGTATTATAATTGTATTTGCTGTATTTAAATCACCAGAACGTAGTCCCCCAATAGAGGAAGTTATACAATCTGGTGTTGTTCCCCGATTCGTGGAGTTTCTTATGAGGGAGGATTTCCCACAGCTTCAGGTCTGAAGTTGGACTTTGTGGCATTTTAGTCCGTTTGTTATTTGGGTGCATTGTTCTAATAATTACTGATTTAGTATTTGTAATATCTGGAGTTTTTTACAGTTTGAGGCTGCATGGGCACTTACGAATATTGCTTCTGGTACCTCGGAGAATACCAAGGTGGTAATTGATCATGGGGCAGTCCCTATTTTTGTGAAGCTTCTGGGTTCTCCAAGTGATGATGTTCGTGAGCAGGTAAATGCCTAGTTTATCGACCTATTTCAAAATGTTGAAGTCTGTATCATCTGTGACTATGAAAATGCGTTCATGGCATTTATGTTTAACACTTCTTGAAACTGTAGGCTGTGTGGGCATTGGGGAATGTTGCTGGCGACTCCCCTAGGTGCCGTGATCTTGTTCTGGGCCATGGAGCTTTGATTCCCTTGCTGGCACAGTTGAATGAGCATGCCAAGCTTTCAATGCTGAGAAATGCTACATGGACGCTATCAAACTTTTGCAGAGGCAAGCCACAGCCCCCGTTTGAGCAGGTTGTTGTCTTCATCTAGGTGCTTTTGGCATGCAGTAATATTTTCTTACTTGTCACTGTTTGAATTTATTTTGGCAGACGAGGCCAGCACTTCCAGCCCTCGAGCGACTAGTTCATTCCAGTGATGAAGAGGTGCTGACAGATGCATGCTGGGCTCTATCATACCTCTCCGATGGTACGAACGACAAAATTCAAGCTGTGATTGAGGCAGGTGTCTGTCCACGACTTGTTGAACTCCTCCTGTAAGTTGCACCTCAGATATTCCATTGTTTGAGCCCCATATTCCATTTACTTTATTGAAATTCTGAAAGTACGAAGTTCATAATTGTTGTTTCAGTCATCCATCTCCTTCAGTCCTCATTCCTGCACTTCGCACGGTTGGGAATATTGTAACAGGAGATGATATACAGACTCAGGTATGAACTTGTGAGAGGTGCTTCGGATTGTCTAATATTAACTTTTTGATAAAAAATAAATCTGATTGTTGAACAGATATCATTATTATTTGTTACTTAGTATGACTGTTGATAACTTGATACATCTATTTGTATCGCAAGTCACATCTCCTTCATCCTAAGAAGCAGAAACAAACTTAAGAAAGAGCCATACTGTTTGATACTTGTCAGACACCAGTCATACTGTTTGACTCTTGTCGAACACCAACACTTGTTTGACAAATCTTAATAGAGTTTAAATTTTAAGAATAAAGTTCTTAATTTTTGGGCACATGGCCAACAATACCTAAAGATATGCTAACGTCTTCGTCATCATCATCCTTACCTTATTCCATGTGGATGGGGTCGGTCACATGAATTCTCTTTCTCCATTCTTTTGTATTATCAACCCTGAGTAGCGAAGTGGTTATTTTAAGTAATTTTTTGATTTTCAAGTGTTATCATTATATTATCTAGAATCGAGTCTTTATTATTTTTAAACTCCATAAACTATTTTTTAGTTTGACTAATTCTCAATTTTTTTGATTATAAATCATCTTTAACGTTAAATGAAAGTCTCCTGTATCATGGAAAAAGTGTGTAGTCCTAAGAAGACTCAAGTTAAAGATTTATATAACTTAGCAAAAAAAAAAAAAGAGTTAAAGATTTATATGAAATTTGATCATATTTGAGAAATAAAATAAGGAATAGTTATTGAAGGAGTGGGCATGACAATTGGAAAGAAGTCGCCAAATTATGCATGGACTAACACTTATACGCAAACATATGTAAGCACTTGCATAGGTGTCCTTTGCATGCCTTTTTCTAAATGACAAAAGTGATTTTAATTTATATGTTGTCATAAAAATGTTTATGTCGTGTAAAATTATTAATTTTTATATGAAAAGATAAGCTTTATTGTTGTGTCCTAGCTGTATTTGTGTCCTACTTTTTTGACCTTGTCGTATTGTATCCATGTCCCGAGTCAATATCCATGCTGCTTAAGTTTCATTTGAGCATACTTGTCATATGTACATCCTAGGAAGTACGGGCATGATTAAAAGGTTGAAGTATCTATTTTGGACCCGTGTGTACATATAACACACATACATAAATGTGTATGTACTAGTGTTTTATATATATGCAAGTGGTTGATTTTGATTTTTTATAATAATATGATATATGATAAAATCTACACGATAATTGCTTTCTCTTAATGGTATTTGATTTAGTTACTGCATATGATTAACGAGATGATTTATGTGCATTGATTACTTGATCCTTTATCAACTGTGTAATTCATTTTTATTTTTATTTTTTTTAAATGAACTTCTGATTAGTCGAGTTGCATATCTTGAACTGTTTCAAATATACATTTGATTTAATTGAACTCATATGTAAATTAAAAAGCTACATGTAGGTTGATTTTGCTAATTTATCAAATTGAAATCCTTTATTTTGATATTAACCACTTTGTGTTGCTTATTTTTGTTTTGTTATTTTTGTTTGTTTGTTTGTTTGTTTGTTTGTTTGTTTGTTGTTCTATACAAAATATCTATTTTTAACACATGCGCCTTACTTTGATTAAACTCACTCCGTACGTTGCACCTTGCCCTTAGGTTCTAGGAAACCTTGATTCCTTAGTGGTGGCAATTCGTGTTTGCGGGTTATATTCGTGACGTGCTAACCTAATAGTATTATGTATATTTGTGCTCGCGGGTTATATTTGTTACTTTGGTTAATCCTGAACACATCCTGTTTACTAATCGTGTTAGGAGCCCTTGACATGAACAAGGCTCGTTTATTAAACAGGTACCACGACACAACCCATTTAACCTGTTTAATGGGTCACGTAACTTATAACACGACACAACCCGTTTAATAACCAAACCATTTGAATTAAATGGGTCATGTAACCCTTTTATTAACTCAAGTATAAAATGCAAATATAGTAAAAAGATGAGATAATGAATGACTAAATTCATGAAAATGAGGATAATTGAGACAATACGATTACAAAAAAAAGGCCAAACAACAATACATGTATTGGGTTTATATTGATATAATAAACATCCATAGTAATTGGGTTAAAACAAGTTACGAGTTTATTTGGTTGACCTAACATGATTAATTAAATGGGTCTAATAGGGTTAAAAGGGTTGAGCTCCAAAACAACACCAAACGATTAGTTAAATGGGTTGACATGACTATGATACAAACATGATTCAAGTTAATCCAAACATGCTAACTGCATGTTGTGTCGGATTTTGCTACCCCTAATTGTAGGTATGCTAGGTTGTTTCTTTTGTTAGCGAGAGAGATGATTAGGGAGCTATGTTAAGAGTATGAAATAGATAGGGAGAGGCACAAAATGCCATTTTTAACACAAGAAACAATTATTGGTTCGGGAGAGGCTTTGTACACCCACTCACACATATCTAACTACTAATGCAATCAGCTATGAAAGAGAACAAATAAATCTGAAGAAGGGAAAAACATAGAGCAAGATTAAGCTAACGAATAACTTAAACACCCACAACTCAATCCCAAAGAAAGGGAGAGGTAAAAAGCTGCTATGACAGACTAAATTTATATTGATAATATGTAAAATGTTGCTGAATACAACTTGGAACAACCCCTTTATAAGCCCCAAGGGATGCCCTAGCAAAGATTTAATCCTAACCCTTCTTATAAATATAATCTAACGGCTACTAATTTGTCCAGCAGAATAAAATATGTTAAAATTGACAAAACAGCCCTGAAGTGGTCACATGACTCACTTAATAGGCACATGACTGATTAAATAGAAGCAAAATGACAAAAATATCCCAACTAAAGCTTAAGGCAAACAGTAAACAGAAAATTAAGACAGATTAATGACTTAACTAAATGACTTAAACCCAATAAACAATTCTGCCCCTATTAATGCGATCTCAGTCTAGTCTTCTTAGGATCTTCAACTGTTTGAAAAAAAATCCTATTCCATTTGCACTGCATCAAATACCAATTTGGGTCGGTCCTTAACATGATTCTTGTAGGACATATTTTCTAATCTTCTCCTAGATTTTCTATACGCTCCCTCTTTCTCTACCCGATTTCTTTCTCTTTGGCCCCTACAACGCATCACACTAAAGCCCCTTTTGATTCCTTTTAAATATTCTCTACAACTCATTTGCATGCTTTGGGGGTCCTTGAATATAATAAAGCTACAAGTAGCAGGGTGATATCTAGATGCAAACTGTGATGGACCTGGACAGAAGCCTTGGAAGGAAGGAGAAGAGGTAGACTTGTCAATGAGATCAGTGATGAGCGTGGTCTTCATATTTTAAACCCAGAAAAAGGAAGTGGAGAATATAATACCTAAAACTCAGGAAATGGGTTTTATAGTGGTGGGTAGAGGATGGATTAGAGAGAGGAAATGGAAGAACAAATCGGATTTTGGGTTGAAATGAGATGTTGTGGTAATGTTGGAATCTCGGTGGAGTTTGGTGGCGCTGGAGATGGTGATTGATTATATGGAGAAGATTGAGAGGTAGAGATGAAGGTAGGTAGAAAAAGTAGAGAGCAAAGACAGAAAAGAAAGGATCTGGTGATAGTTTTAATAAGGATAAAATAGACATTAAATATGTTATGATGTAAAATTTGTTCAATAGCATATTGTGAATAAATGAGGGTATAATAGTCGTAACATCAAAATATGTCACTTGTATTGCACATGATTTTATATCTATTAATTTTGTAATAGAAAATAGACTGCGGCGCCGCGCCGGGGGGGGGGGGGGGGGGGGGTGCAATTGCATATTTTGAGAAATGGGTTTGTTGCCAAATTAATAGTTCAAGGGGTTATTTATAACTAACTGTTCATATTTTTTCATGGTGATATAGCTAACTATGGAGAATGAATTTTGAGCCCTTCTAGCGTGCTTGTTTCACTCTAAACCATATAAAGCATTGTAGGGGACTGTTCGTGTACTCTTTCTTATTTATGTTCAAGGAGATGAACATATAATAAATTTTAACTCTTAGAAATGATTAAGGATTAGCATTGACAACTGAAGACAAAAGAAAGGGTAACAAATCCATGTACAAGGGAGTACAGAAATGTAAAAAGAAAACTAAAGAGTGACATGTAACCCAAAAAAATCCATAAGAGAATATAGAGATTGGATTTCTCTTCTATCCGGAAACAAAGAACTCAACACCAAATTTAAGTTTTTGTACATTTAATTCCAACCCCTTGAAAGATATTCTATTCCTTTCATTTCAAATATTTTACATAAGCAATTAAGGGGACAGAAGTCCCCTTTCAAGAGTCCAACAAACCCCTCTTGAGCCTGTTATCACCTAAACAAACTGACAAAGCAAGAAACATATTCAGCAACTCCCAGCATAAGTGCAGTGAGGAAGTAAATGAGTAGCATTCTCACCTGTTTTGTTGCACAAGGGAGGCCACTGCTCTCAGAACCTCTTTTGAATGGCTAAAATTGCTCCCCCAGTTGTAGATACAAAGAAGTCTTCTTTAGGGGGTTTTCGAGCCCAAAATTTCTATCCACCGAAAATCTGAACCACCTTTTCCACTAAGATACCAGTGGTAGGACTTTATAGAGCACCTTCCATCTGAGGTCTTTCTACCTAATGGTGCCTCTACCCTCTCCCCTAAGGGACACAACATAGCACTCAAGAAAGTTGGTCCATTCTTGATACGCCCTCCAAATAGATAGCTATCAAAACCACTTGTTCTTAGGTAAGTCACACTGTTGACCACAAGATCTCTTCTGCCAACAATCAATTGAAGAGTCGGAAATCTTTCCTTAAGAGATACTTAACCTGAAGGTCTTCTCAAAATCTAACCTACCATTGTCCACCACCATCATATTTAAAAGGTGAAAGTCCTCTTAGGCCAGCAGTGGACATCTCCAAGCACTCTCAAAACTTATCTTGCACCCCTTCAACGAGTTTCTCTATCAAAACCTACTCAACCACTTGCTGAGTCTGGTTAAAGATCCAAGTTCTTGATAATACCCAAAACGGGGACAAAAGCCCCCTTCCAGTGACCTGGTGGTGGTATATAAATTCTTCCCTTAAGTCGCTGAAAAGTAAATCCCTTTGCAATTCTCAAGTTTCTTTTCAACTAATACCGGAATGGGAAAGGTACACAGAAAAGTATATAGCATATAGGCATACTTAAAAGATGCTGCTGCTTCCATCATGTAATTCTGATGCCAAGGAGTCCTATAACATGTACACGGTTTGGTTTTGAATGAGCAATCAAAAGATAGCCCCAAATAAGACCAAAGCATTCCAAATTCTCAACCAAGAGTTCAGTGGGATAAGCTTACTTCTACTTAAACTGCAATCTTGAAATCACTTCAAAACATAATAACCGCTTTTTTGCACCTCAAAGGGTATCAGTGTATTCTAGAAACAATTAGGTGGGGGTCCGCCCATAGCCCTAACAATCTGTAGCAAACACCAACATCTTTTGCCATCAAATTATCGACAGCTCAATCTTTACATTATTCTCACTCTGCCACTCGATCTTGATGCATTTGCCCGGGTGGACATACTATTATCCATTCTGATTGATTTGTCCCAGATTGAACTTTCCCTCTTCATATTTTTCATTAATGGACATTTTCACATTTCCCGTTTAATGTGATTTTTTAAGTTGGAGATGCGCCAAAGCACTTAAACCTGATATGTAAGGTGATTTTTTTTACCACACTGCTGTGCTATGAAGTTTACACAAATTGGTTTTTCTTTCTTTGTTTTTTGTTTCGTTTCTTTTTTCTTTATTTTATTTTATTTTATTTTATTTGGGCTCGACTCTTGTCCATGCTATATGTTGAGGCTGCAATATTGGATTTCATCATTATAGCATACAAGAACAGATTATTTTCTCTGATGGAAATGTGTAATTTTCTGGAGTAGAAATTGCTGAAGCATTCATGCAACTGAAGTGAATCATCTGGTGAGTGATCCTGTGCTCCGTAGGGATTTCCTTGACATTCTTCCTATTAGTGCCATCTAGTGCCTAATGCAGGGGTTAGGTGGACGGTGGATAGGCATGGAGGCATGATGATTAGGCAATGCCTCAAGTAGTACCAGCCTTAGGGGTGCCTTCCGCTTTAGAAGCCACATTGCAAATCCTTCCCTGGGAAATGTGACTCAGCTCTTCATTTGAACCTTCCTTTAGATTGAACCCGCTAACAGTGTCACTGCTTAGAAGCTTGTGCTACTGATTCCATTTCCCCCGGGCATCCCCTCTCTTTCCTAGTTTCTGTAATTTCTTAATTATGCTATGATCTTGTTCACCATACTTGTGATGCTATCTGTTCTTCGCTTCCAATATGTTGTGATTTTGTATCCAAAATAATTGGAGCTCCTTTCTTCAGTGTATAATCCAACATGGTTCTCTTCCATGCCTGCTGAGTTTGTTGACCCATAATCATAAAAAGAGCATCAAGAAAGAAGCTTGCTGGACGATCTCCAATATTACTGCTGGAAACAAGGAACAGATTCAGGTAAGCATGTAAATCTTTAGCAATCAAATGTTTTAAGCTTTTAAATGCCGTTTTGTAATTTAAGGATCTTTCTTCGACTTTATTTATGCACAATTTTTTTTTTCTTTCTTTCTTCTGGTCAAGTTTATCTTTCTTTGATTTTGTACTTGTGCACATCTATATTTTGCTGGTCAATGTTTTGGCTGTAAGGACTTATAATCCCCAGTCTACATTTTCTCTAGTATACCATGTTGAACTTTGAACATCTGATGTTGCTATATATATATAAAATAAAAAATAAAAAAAATTGGGAGATGGGTCTTTTTGGTTTTGCTGATTTTATGATAAGAAAATCTCTTGATTAATTATATTAGTAGAGTGAATTGTTGCATCCGACAAATGAACTTTTTGGTTCAAGTAGTTCATGGTTAGTGCTTCCCTTAATCAGTAGAAAGTGATACTTAGTGCATATACTTTGAATCAACAGGCTGTAATTGAGGCTGATTTAATTGCTCCTCTCGTCAATCTGCTTCTAACTGCTGAATTTGATATAAAGAAAGAGGCAGCTTGGGCAATTTCGAATGCTACTTCTGGTGGTACTAATGAGCAAATCAAGTATGTTTTTCTAGTTTTTCTTCCTTTACTCTTTTTTGCAATTCTTCTTTTATATATGTTAATTCTGATATTTGGCCATGATCACGAATTGTAGGTTCTTGGTAAGTCAGGGATGCATAAAGCCTCTATGTGATCTCCTTGTATGCCCTGATCCAAGAATTATCACTGTTTGTTTAGAAGGGCTAGAGAACATCTTGAAGGTTGGGGAAGCTGAGAAAAACTTGGGTAATACTGGAGATGTTAATTACTATGCTCAGTTGATAGATGAGGCTGAGGGATTAGAAAAGATAGAAAATCTACAGAGCCATGACAACAATGAAATTTATGAGAAGGCAGTGAAGATTCTCGAGACCTATTGGCTGGAGGAGGAAGATGAGACATTACCTACAGGTGATGATTCTCAGCCTGGATTCAACTTTGGAGGAAATGATATTCAGCGTCCTTCTGGTGGATTCAACTTTAGCTGAAGGTATGTAAACCCATCCACTTCAAGATTTACTCTTTTTGCACACACATTCTAATGATAGTGTCAAGTGTCTAGTCATTTCCATTGGTTGATGTTACCGAGTCTTCAAATCATCTTGACATCAGGTGGTCATTGCTTGTTGCAATGGTAAAAACTTAAACTGATAGTGAGGGTTCGGGTCTCAGAACCACCTCTTTGCAAAAGATTAACAAAGGTTTGGGTTGTCCTAATGTATCCTATCCTTCCTAACACCCTGCATAAGTTGTTGATAATGGTAAATATGCAATCAAGTTTAATCGACTGATGTCGCTTTTAGAGATTGCAGGATTTCAGTTTGGGGGATGGAGGAGTTCAGATTAAGGGCAACAAAGTATATGTCAGTGTCAAGTCAGGTCAGGGCAGGGCACCTCACTGTGTCTTGTTCAGTCTGGTCCAGTGTCTGTTGTGGTTGAAGAGATGTCAAGATGGGTCAATTTACACATTGGTGGTCAAATAAAGAAGAGGTCCGCGGGATAGTGTTGAGAAGATGGCTTGGTGGGGCATTGCATGGTTTTAGGCCTTCGTCCACCATGGAGTAATTATTACTGGGAGAGGTCTCAAGGGGGGATCATTGTTGCATAAGGTGGGGTCCTGAATGCTACACCAGAGTCTTCCATCTGTTCTTATGCTGCATCAATCTTCATCAGTTATGTGTCATAATTGAGAGTACAACAGAGTCCGTATTCTTTATTTCTTCTGCTGGGTGGATATAGTTTTTGTAACCCTTTATTGCATGGTTTATCGCGAGAAAAGAAAAAACATTTTACCTTATGATTTATCTATGAAGTCACATATTTGTTTCCCGGAGTTCATTTTATGGTAATGCTTGTTAGTACTGTGTATTCTTTGGTGAAAACACAATGGTTGAAGCAGTGTTAAAAATTCACAGCTCTTTGATTGTTTTAGAAATTCTCAGATGTTGTGTAGTGTTGCCTGGTTTTTTTGTCATTCCTTCGAATTAATATCTTCCAATTCTAAGCATTTTGTAGAGATTAGCAAAGAAGATGGCTTTAGCATGCAGCGAGTCTGGAATCTATGACTTGTTGAATTGGTTTTTGTTTCCGTTCTTGATACCCACATTCTTTTGTTTTTCCCTCTTATTCGGTTTTGTAGTAGTACTAAAAATTTTAAGGCAGAAGGAATCACAAAAGCATGGGAAAAATCTAATTTTTTTAATTTGCGACTCTGCCTCTTCTGGCAGTGTCACAGTGGAGGGTAGCAATGTTGTCTAACATGGGTCAATAATAAGAAGCTATGGTTTTCATGTTTTTTTAATTTAATTTAATTTATTTGTTTATTTATTTTTGTCATTGACAAAAAACTCACTCACTAACCCAACTCACTTTCACTTTGATAAAAGAACACGTAAGCTTCCCTCAACTCTTAACCTAACAGAAATTGACCTGCAATGAAAGTAGCAACGAAACTGGGTATAGCTCTCTTGCAAACTCGATGATGTACGGTATGGTCTGCCTACTGTCATCGATTTTGTTTAGAGTTATGTAAGCTAAATGCATCGTGTATAAAACATAGGATAACAACATAAAGTAATTTTTCCAACAATCAAAGGTCAGTTATATAAAATCTTTTATTTTTTCGTTTCACTCTAGCTAAGGTCATCGTCTAATTGTCACATATTATCATGTTATTTTTTTGTTGCACTCTATCTAAGGTCATCGTCTAATTGTCACATATTATCATGTTTTTTCTTGCTAATTTCACCTCACATGTTTGTCATATTCTTCTTTACTAACTTTATTTGCCTTAACTTTGATTTTCCTATTTTCTTAGTGTTTATCCGTAATGTTAATTACGTCATTCTTTCTAACTAGTGTACTTGAAAGTCATGTTCAAATTTTGTATAATACACGTTTGTAGTTGAGTGCTTTTAATGAATCCTGATCAAATTGCTCTCTCTTATACTACTTTTTTTAAACAACTATTTGTAGTCATTTTCGAACCTATAGCTATCATTCAATTAGGTATTTATTTGCACTCATGCATGTCAAACATCAAGTTGATTGCGAATTAGTAGTTGTAATGCAACAATGGAGCCATACTTATTGTGTCTCCCAACTTTACAAATAACTCAAAATTTTGAGCACTAACTGGATAGATGTTAGAGGTGTTTGTCTCACATTGGATTCGAATAGGGAAGGTCATGGGTTTATACGGGTGGATATGCAATACGTTTAAGATTTTGTGCTGGAGAGTAAACGTCGGCTCGTTACAAAGTGTATTAGAATTAGACCCATACCTTGATCCGGTGTGAGATATAAAATTATTATTGACATATTTTGGCAATCAAAACAAATCCGGATCAAGTTGTAATGTTTGTTTATCATCAAACCTTGGTTTTGGAAGTGGAAATTTCAATTGAAGCTACTCGCATCATTCTTGGCTCGACAATGACCAATTATTCATGCTAAGTGTGTGAGGATCACTTAATTAGGGTTACAAGGTGGAATTTTATTTTAAAGGTTTTTCAGCCATCCAACCGGTTGGACTTCACTCTTGAACTGGTTGCTTTTTATGTGCAAAATCATGCCTTAAGAAAAATGCAACTGGTTCCAAAGAAAGCTTGAACCGGTTGCATTCTCTTGAACCAAGAAGGAAAGTTTGTGTTTTTACCAACTTTTATTTACCTTTTGAGTTGGACTTGTAGGAATATTCCAGCACTAAATTTGGTGTATTTTCTAACCTTATTAGGACTATCTACTTGTCTATATAAACTCATATTCACACACATTAATTCACGTCTTTTGCATTAAAATTTTCATAACCCTAGAGAACCTTTTAGTGTGAGTTTTTGAGAACACACAACTATACACAGAGTGTTTTAGGTTGTTTATTCATTGTTTGATCGGGATTGGCGTGATTGAAGATTTCATATCTACCGATCGTAAAACAAATTTTTTTTTGCAAACTTCAAAAAATTAGTTTTTGAAGAAAAGGAGAAGAATATCACACTTTGAAGTGATCAAGATGTTCGTGGAGTGTTGGTTGATCTACCAGCGATCCTTCTACAAAGATCGAGACTAAGCCTGAGGTCGAGAGCTATTGGGCGGGAGAGTTGCAAAGTTAGGGATCGTCAGTAAATGGTTTTTGGTAGATTGATAGGGTGTGAGCTTGAGTTGGAGTCGATTGTACTTTGATTAATACATGGTGGATCTTTTGGCTCTTGACGGCGTAATCCATGAGGTTTTTCCCACAACGATTGGTCTCATCTGCCAATCGAGATTTCTTCGCTAAAAATCTGGTGTCGTTCTAAACTCATTCTTTACATTACTCGCAATTTATATTTACTTTGTGGGGAATAATTTAAGTTTATTTTGGTAAATTTTAATTAATCAAAAATTGGGCAAATGAGTAGTTGAACCTATTCACCCCCTTCTAGGTTGCTTATCGGATCGATTCAACATATTCCTTTGTTTGATGGAGATAACTATGCATTTTTGAAACCCTAACATGTAAGCTTTTCTTATAACTCAAGGTAACTATGTTTTGGTCGCAATTGAAAAGGTTATAAAAGACCTACAGTCACAAAGGAAAGTGTAACAACTGAGAAGCATAAGTCCGAGTGGACACAAGCTAAAAATCATGCTGGTGAAGGAAACACAAAAGCATTGTTTTCAATATTCAAAGTTATAGTTCAATCTGAGTTAGCTCGTATTGTTCATTGTAAAACTATAAAGGAAACATATGATATACTTCAGTTTACGTATGAGGGTATAGATTAAGTCAAAACATCAAAGATTGAGATGCTTGTATTTCAATTTGAAAACCTTAAGATGGAAGAAGATGAGATTTTTCAGATTTTTACATGAAACTCAACAATATTGTGTCTCGTCTTAGAAACTTAGGGAAGAAAGTGACAGATAAAAAAAAATTAACAAGAAAATCCTTAGAACTTTGCCCGAAAGGTTTTAGATTGTAGTTGAAACATTACAAGCAATTCAAAACATTAGTACCATGCAACTTGATAAGGTTGTATGTCATACTAAGAATTATGAGATGAACTATTGTGGAAATTCTCTAAAACCTAAGGATTTAACTCTAAAGCTTCAAAGTCTCAATCATCCAAAACTGAGGGTAGTATGATAGCGAGTCTGATGAAGAGATTGCTTTCATCACTAGGAGGTTCAAAAATTTGATCAAGTTTGAAAATATCAATGTCATGAACCCTCGGGGGGGGGGGGGGGGGGGGGGGGGTGGGGGGGGTGGGGGTGGTGTGGTGAGGGGGGAGGGGGATCCTTTCGAATAATTTCATTGCAATAGGCTCACACATTCAACCATAAGTGTTCAGTGATTTTACAAGGAAAATCTCTCTCAACTAGAGATAAAAACCTTGGTTCTTGGCCACAACCAATGTAAGCTCCACTAATTATAATGCAAGTAGATACACACTTAGCTGTCTCTCACTCTGCACACACCTTAGCTCACAACAATGCACACATGCACTGCCCTTGTCCTAAGCAACCCTGCTTAGACCCTATGAGATCTCACAGCTCACAAAAATACATAGAAAATGATGAATAACATCAATACTCAAGCTATTACACGAGATAAGATCGATTATACAACTCAAAGTATCAAACAACAACAAATAAGCTTTATTCTGCTGAACCTATAGGAGAAGGGCAAATATGAAATTTCGTATGAACACAGGCCACCAAATGGTTCTCACAGTCTCATATCAACATTATACATATACTCAGATGATCATCTCAATGGTATAAATAATGTGGTCATGATCGACGGTCGAAATCAATTATAAATCAACCCTCTTCGCAATAGCACGAATCATTGTAAAATAGGGTTATTGGTCGGGTAAGTCGAACCACTGGGACTGCGCTAATATATGGCAACTTAAGTGTCTAGAGTCATTTTAGAGTGATAAGGGGTGTTTATAGAGGGTTTGTTTTGTTTGTCACTAAACTACAAATTCAGAATGCATAAAATAATAATTTGCAAGGAATTTAGGATGAAAAAATTAAGAAGAGGAGACTAGGGAAGTGAATCCGCCTCCATCCCTATACATATGCTAGATTAGACCTAAATTGGGAGAAAAACAACATATGATGGTCAAGACTTACATAGCAACACATGGTTGCCATGTAAGTAATCAAGAAGTACATTAGGTCTCAAACAAGTATAATCCATCAAAAGACAAACATGCTTAGACTACCTAACTAAAGAGTAGCTTATACACATTTACTTAAATGAGAGACTATCAAGTTCTTGACAAAATGATAACGCACATGGAGTTAGAGATTAAACATACACCATCAAAGGATTTCCTAAGCAATGGTCTATCAAAGTCACCTATCAACATGCCATGAAACCATTTCATAACCTTGCTTCCACTCTCACCATGAAAACTCAAGTAATATGATTACTCTAAGACATCATCTAAAACAAGATAATCAACTTAAAGGAATCATCCATACATGTATCAACATTCATTACAACAAATGAGGTGCTCTTGGTTATGAAAAGACCATAAAATATACATGGCAAATCCCCAAAATAGACTATCCTAGGACATGCTTACAAGGGAGAGACTTCATCACCTCCCTAGAGAAAGAGTTAGTTACCCATTGCTAAGCTAGAAGAAGGAAGAAGCTCCATCCAAGACTCCATTTTCGTGCTCCTACTGTAGCACTCAAGAACACCCTCTTCCTTGCTCTCTTCTCTCTCCTCTATCTTGCTAGAATATAGGATAATGATATTGTGTGGTCCTCCCTCTCTCTTATCAAGCTCAAGTCAAGGCTCTCTCTCCTCCAAGGAACACCTCCAACCACTTCATAAAGAAGGAAGATGGCATTGAGGAAACCAATGTGCAAGTGGCTGAAATTGAGCCATTTCCGAGTGCAATCTGCCAGAATTTCGAGCACTCGAAGGCTGGT